ATCTTAATATGAGCTTACCTGGCTTCTTACTTAATTTGTACCATATACCAATTTCATTTGTATGCAATTAATTAATTTTGCAGGCTTAATGTTCATCATTTTTTTGAAATTTTAAATATATCTTCTACATTAGGGGGTGTCAATTATAACCAAATCCACCATCATTAAATTGACTGGTTTGAAGAAATCCACCCTTCTTTAAACATGTTGGTTATTCATTTAACTCCTTTTGGGGCCCATTGAAGCAAGAATATTTTTTGAGAAAAGTGACTGGTTTCTCATGGTGGATTTCCTATATTTTATACCCCCTATTGTAAAGTTTTAAGGTATTATTCATTTTATGCAAAGATCAAAGTTTCAATTTTAATATATCAGCTTACCCTGTTTCTTACATAATTTTAACTTTAGACAAATTTTATTTTTATGCAAAACTGATGTAACCATCAATTACGAAGCCTTTCAAAATATAGGAAATAAATTCAAAATTCTTAAAAATAATGAAATATAAGCCTGTAAAAATTAAATAAATGTCCAAGAAAGAGTTTTGGTTGGTACACAGTATGGTTACTCCAATAATTTTCAGCATGTCTATGGTAACTATGAATTTTCATCAAAATGAAAACTATGTCTTGAATAATGCCTTTGACGTGTTTCCCAAATTTATTCTTACACGCTCAAGTATCCTTATTTTTTGGAATAAAATTTGTATATGGTACAAATTATGCAAGAAATGGGGTACACTCATCTATTAAGATTGAAGCTTGTATTTTTAGTGAAATTGGACTTCAACATACAATTCTACACATTTTTAAATGTAGGAAATAAATTTAAAATTTCAAAAAATGCTTAAAATCAGGCCGGTAAAAATCAATCAAAAAAACATTAAAAAAAACCTGTCCAACGCAGTATTCAGTAACAAGCAGTGATTTTTATGTAGATGGTTGTTAACATCATTTTGATCATGTATTAAAGTGTGGGAAATAAACTTAAAATGTCAAAAAATGTTGTGAAATAACATGTAAAGAATTAATTGAAAAAAGTGTCTAGTTTCAGTATTAAAAATGAACCGTTGAGTTTTAAGAAATTTGGATGTTACCATTAAATTCTAAATACTT